TTGTCAGTGCGTACAGAAAATGTTTGTCAGAGTGTACACAAAATGTTTGTCAGCGCGTACAGAAAATATTTATCAGTGTGTACACAAATTGTTTGTCAGTGTGTACACAATATATTTGTCAGTGTGTACACAAAATGTTTGTCAGTGTGTACACAAAATGTTTATCAGGGTGTACAGAAAATGTTTGTCAGTGTGTCCGTTAATGTGTCTACAGAATGGTTTTTCAGTGTGTTGGTTTGTCAGTGTGTACACAAAATGTTTGTCAGTGTGTCCACAAAAGGTTGTCAGTGTGTATACACAAAATGTTTGTCAGTGTGACCACAGAAAGGTTTGTCAGTGTGTCCGTTAATGTGCTACAAAGGTTTGTCTGTGTATCTACAAAGGTTTGTCTGTGTGTTTACAAAATGTTTGTCAGTGTGTACACAGAGAGGTTTGTCAGTGTGTCCGTTAATGTGTAAGCAAAGGTTTGTCTGTGTGTCTTCTGAAAGGTTTGTCAATGTATCTACAAAACGTTTGTCAGTGTGTACACAAAATATGTCTATGCGTTGGTTTGTCAGTTTGTACACAAAAGGTTAGTCAGTGCGTACACAAAAACTTTGTCTATTTGTTGGTTTGTCAGTGTGTCCGTTAATGTGTCTACAACGGTATGTCTGTGTGTCTCCTGAAAGGTTTGTCAGTATGTCCACAAAATGTTTGTCAGTGTGTACACAAAATAATATATGCCTATGCGTTGGTTTGTCAGTTTGTACACAAAAGGTTTGAGAGTGCGTACGCAAAAACTTTGTCAGTGTGTAGGTTTGCCAGTGTGTCCACAAAAGATTTTGTCAGTGTGTCCATTAATGTGTCTACAAAGGTTTGTCAGTGTGTCCACAAAAGATTTTGTAAGTGATTTCACCTGAAGTGAAAGATTTAAAGACGTCTCTTACCGTATCTCATCTGTCGCACATCGCCGTCCTTCTGCCCAAGTGACTGGTGTAGTGGTGTTACACAACAGGGGAGTGATAGGTCTTGTCATGTGATCTGAAGTGGCAGAGTTGTTGTATCGAGAGAGAGAGAGAGAGAGAGAGAGAGAG